GGTTGATTGATTGATTGGTTGGTTGGTTGGTTGGTTGGTTGATTGGTTGATTGGTTGATTGGTTGGTTGATTGATTGATTGATTGATTGATTGATTGGAGTATCAAACAATGTTGTAGAACCTGATGGAAGGCCTTTTGACCCGTTTCTTCAACAATTTCAGAAAACTGTCTACAGTATTATGGGCAATTTCATTTTCCAGGCTGGAATTTTAATTAGCCGTCGTCACGAAATCATGATCTGAAAATGAGGATCTCTTCAGTTTCCAAATGTAGTTTTTCATCATTCTCCATTATGCCATGTTCCTTCTGTTTTCTTTCCATGACTTCTACCATAAATTTTCCAACAGTTTATCCATCTTCGTCTGCCATGAAAAGTCCTTCATTCTCTGCGTTTTCCCGTTTGTAGTCTTTTCACGGCGACTCCGTCCCTGTCCCGTTATTACTCTTCCTGTTCATGGCTTAAATTTACAGATTTGAAAGAAACTGGAAGAGAAGTAAATATGTCATGCAATGTTCTCATACATCATATTCCAAGTCTTCTGAAGGTGTATGACAACCTTGCATTTTTTACTTATTGCCCAATTAGTGTCAAAAACAGGACTTTTATTTTTTGATACGGCAGAAACGTCCCACAGTCGACACACACAAGCTCAGGTTGTTTGAATCACTTACTCTACTTACTCTTAAATGTTTTAGTTGCTTAGTGACTAACTATTATTATCATACCTGGCAGCAGGGGTGGGTTTACCATTTTGGGCCTACACTCTAAAAAATGCTGGGTTGTTTCAACCCAACTTTGGGTCAATTATGGACTCACCCAACTGTGGGGTTACATTTTTTTATTAAAATTTTAACCCAAAAGTTGGGTTAGTCCATATTTGACCCAAAGTTGGGTTGAAACAACCCAGCATTTTTTAGAGTGTAAGCAAAGTCAAGACCTGAGGCCTCACACGCCACGCCCCAACGCTACCGTTGTAATGTTTTACTTCCAATTACACAGCATTGATATTCAATAGAATTCAATACGCATTTGCATAGTTTGTGTGGTGGTTAACACCACTACTGCCTGGCAGTGTATTATAAAGCAAAAAAAAAAACCACTTCTTTACCACTCTTTCTTGCTGTTTTGGCTGATAATTAACATACTCTAATGTTTATAACATTTTGAGTATTTATAACATTTCTATGATCATCATAGGCCTTATTTATAATATAATATTGTGCATAATCTGAGCTGTTCCAATGTAGTCTCATTGAAAAGGGCACACAAGTACCAAATACTTCTGAAGCAAACTATCCCTGATCCAGAGCAGCTGGTTATGTTCACAGAGTAAGTTTACTATGGCTATATGTACACTAAGTGTCACCTGTTTATTACTCTAACATGCAGGGACTTTAATGACACTGATACAGAGATATTAATATGGAGTCTGTCCCCCCTTTGCATCTATAACAGCTTCCACTCTTCTGGGAAGGCTTCCACAAGATTTTAAGAGTGTTTCTGTGGGATTTTTTGCCCAGTAGAGCATCTGTTCCAGTTCATCCCAAAGGATGGGGATGGGGTTGAGGTCAGGGCTCTGCGTTCTTCCACACCAAACTCATCCAACCATGTCTTTATGGACCTTGTTGCTTTGTACATTGGGACACAGTCATGCTGGAATAGAAAAGGGTCTTCACAGAACAGGTTTCCACTGCTCCAGAGTCCAGTATCTGTGTGCTTTACATCCCACGCTTGTTACTGTACTTACTTGGTGATGTTGAATTGATTTTATACACCTGTGGCAATGGGTCTGATTGAAACACCTGAATTCAGTAATTAACAGGTGTGTCCCAAAACATTTGTCCATATAGTGTATATACTGTACACTGCATTACCTTTGTAAACATAAACGGATGTTGAGTCCTGCGAATTCCATCCAGACATTTCTAAAATATAAATCATTATTATAGGCTCCTATTGAGCATGCAGGTAAGACAGAAACACTGTCTGGAATACAGATTTATACTTGCAATAACTGCTGAGAGAAAGAGATTAAATTTGATGCCATGTCAACTAGTGATTACTTGAGTTATTAGAGTAATTTCAAGGCAGGTTAATTAAGTTTGCCAGTAAAATGTTTTTTAAAGGTTAGATTTTGCTGAATATTTTGAGCAAAATATGTTTTGCCCATATTTACCAAGGGTGCCGATATTAGTGGGGAACACTACATATCTATTTTAATCCAAATTGTGTCACATAACTGAATTATACGATTGTAATAGCTAGCAAACTATTAGCAAACAATAATGCATATGCTATTAGTTAAACGCTCCTTGAGCAAAGCAGCCAAAGCGAAATCTTCAGACTTCACACAGTGTAATTAAAAGGGTTCTAAATCCCAATATAATTGAATAAACACTATCGAGTCTCCCTTTTTTCTTATCTTGCTCAAGACCACATTTCAACTCTCCCCATTACGTCCCATGCAAAGCATGCAGGGAACTACAATACTTGATTGGTTCACATTTGCATACATAATTTAATCTAGTAGATTGCACAATTTAGAGAATTACATTAATTGAAAGCAAAGAAATCATGTTTGGAAGAGAAACACAATTTTGTTGTGTAGACCATAAATAATATGATTGAGTAAACTGTTTTCCAGTTGTTTTTCAGTGAGTGCAGGACCTACAGCTTGTCTTTAATAGCATTTTATCAGCACCAGTCACACCAAACAACAAAATAAAAAATGTTTTTTTTTTATAAACATGAATGTGCAATAGGCCTGCTTTGTACAAATAAATAAATATTAACAAAGAACATTTTAGCTGTTTATAACCTTTTCATCATCCTCTTCTTCTTTCTCTGTAACATGGTTGCATGATGGGAAATACAAGTTCACACTGCTTAGACCATTTGTGCACATTAAAGGATCTCTCTCCATCGTAAAATACATGAATGAATGAATGAATTAATTAATTAATTAATTAATGACATTTCAGGTAAGATGATCTTGAGAGATTGTGACTTTCAACCTATTGCTGATATTATTTGCCTATCACTATGATCATCGCTTTACATCAACTTTATTTTAACATTTATTTTTGTGACCAGCAGAGGGCTCCGGGGCCCCAAGTATTTGCGTAATGGATAATACGGCCACTTCACACAATACAGTAGCCTACAACCTAATCCTCAATATTCAATAACAATTCTTCTGTCATAATGTGTTGGGTTGAGCAGCAGGAGCTACGATTGACAGCAGATCACGTGCTAGTTTCTCTCTCTCATGCCATTCGGCGTGATGATGATGATGATGATGATGATGGTGTGGAGTCTGAGGCTCACACGCATGAATCAGTGAAGTAGAATTGTTTCCTGGAGGGATGTTTGATGCTGTCTTCACCTCTGCACTTAAGTTTTATTGGCGCTGGAAACAAAGTCTGTCTGAAGACTCGCGCGCTCTTTGGAACTGAATTTACGCGTCTAGAATATTTCCTTAATCTAACGGAAGGACGCGATTCAGGATTCATGAAGCAGGATTGACTGAAGGTAGAATTTAGCGCATTTTAGCAGTGCAAAATGTGCGAAAAAAGCGACAACCACTTTGGAACGGACGCTTCTCAGACTGGGCAGATGAAAAGCTCCGATGGAAACTTCGATCAGGTTGAAATCTCCGAATGTAGAGACATTGTTCCTACCTGTAACACGCGCTTGTACCGGAGGCGATGGCTCATTTTGTGTCTCTTTAGCTCTTATTCGCTGTGCAACGCGTTCCAGTGGATCCAGTACGGAATCATCAACAACATCTTCATGAAATTCTACAACGTCTCTTCATTCGCCATCGACTGGCTGTCAATGATCTATATGCTGACTTACATCCCCTTCATATTTCCAGTGACATGGCTGTTGGAGAGGAAGGGGCTGCGGGTGATCGCTCTGTTCGCAGCTTCGATCAACTGCGTGGGAACGTGGATCAAAGTGGCCAGCGTTCAGCCCAACCTGTTCTGGGTCACGATGCTCGGACAGTTCGCCTGTTCCTTTGCGCAGGTGTTCATTTTGGGAATGCCGTCTAAGGTCGCGTCCGTGTGGTTCGGATCTGATGAAGTGTCCACCGCCTGCGCCATCGGCGTGTTTGGAAACCAGGTGCGTAAAAGCGCACGGAGCGCATCGCCGCACCGCCACAGAACAGAGCTTGACAGCCTTCATTTAACTTACATTAATCAGCTGGACTAGATTACACCAAAAGCTCGACTTTCCCGAATAAATAGAACGCCAAATAAAAACGAAAACTCGTGGTATTGATATGCAGAAATGGACTTTGGCGTGCATATGATACGCATGTGTATTTAGCGTGCATATAATACGCAGTTTTCGCGTGCATATGATACGAAATTTGTTGGCGTGCATATGATACGCATCTACCCCACAACCTTAACCTACCCATCGCGTAGCATATACACGCCAAAGTTCATTTTTGCGTATCAATACCACGAGTTTTCGTTTTTATTTGGCGTACTATTTGTACGCACTTTCATGAGATCGGGTTGATATGTCTGCACACATAGACTGTGCATTTCTTTTGCCATTTTAAGCACAGAAACAACTAGCGAGCTGTGGAAAGCAAGACGCAAATTGGGTTAATTGTGGGGTTAAACGTAGCATTGAATATTCATTAGTTATACGTTTCAACAGCGTTTTCAAGCATCATTCCCAGCAACCGAGTTTAAAATAGCGGTAAAAACAGCAATAGCGGCTGCTTTCCTTACCGTCTTTATCGGACACAAAATATTAGTTTGATACTGTCAATAATAATCACTTTATGGCGCATTTATATATACAGTCAAACCTAAATTTATTCAGACACCTTCAACATTTCACACATTATCACAGTTCATTCGCTATAGTTTAAAAAAAAATGTAATAAAATATGACAAGAACTGTTAAACTGTGTCAGAACAAATTCATCTTTATAATGTCAGATAACACTTAAGCAAAACATGGTCACGTTAAAGTTTCTGAATAATTTTTTGCCCCAAATTTTACTGGTAGTCCACTGTATGAAGAATTTTTGGGTATGATTTGTCACAGTTTACTTTATTTTGCTATCCTCACGTACATAAATAAACAATTGTCCTGCACCCACTAGTAAAAAAAAAAATATTTAAAATTATATCTTGAGTCTGAATAAATTTGGTTTGACTGTAAGTATAGCAAAAAAGTTTTCTTTAAAAAAGGTTTTGTTTTAAGTAGCTAAAATTCATTCAATAATCATTTGTCTACTTGTGCGCCAATTATTAAAACGGGGCAGACGCGTTTGTTAAATGTTGAACTCATAATAATTTGCGTTAATTTTCTGTAAACATCTGTGTTTGAATGTGCTCGTAAATTAATATCTGGAGGATAGCGCTGCCCGTCGAGTTTGTACCATGTAGTTTACTTTATTTATTTATTTAAACCTATTCAAATCAGTGAAATTGTATTTAATCGGTGAAAACGGTTGGACTTTAAATTTAATTTTAACACTGAAAATGTTGCATGTGGAGGTTCAATGTTTTCTCTAGCAGCTCCTTGTTGTGCCTTTAATTGGAATATTGGCTGTGACATCATTCATAAAGCATTTGTCATGTTAGATTATAAACTTTGACTGTAAGATATAGAGATGTGAGTATAGAGCACAGCACACGGGGTGTGTATGACTGTAGTTTGGTGATCTCATGTTAATGACATAATTACAAATCACTCACATGCTGAATGGCAGCGCAGCACACTGAACTTATGTATGGGAGCGAAGGGGAGGATATTAGCTTTAGCACTGAGAGGTTAGACTATATCCTAAGACAGATTTCTCAATAACCTGTTCTGAAATGAAATATGACCCCTGTGGCCCCATGTGTGCTTGTTCACTGTTTCATAGCTGGATTAAACTGAGTTTACAGTAATGGGGATCTTTTGGAAAAATGTGTGCCTGTAGTTACCAGTGCAGTAGTCTGTTGCATAAAGTCTGGAACACAATGCAACTTATTCTGCAAATCAGAATATTTAGTTTTGCTTGTGGATTACTTAGTTTACTTACTCAAGCAAAGATTTGATGCCAAAATTCAGTGATTATTTCATTGGGGAAAAAAAGTTTCTCTGTATAACAACACAGATATACGTGTATATAGAGCTGGCTATTAAAGAGCTGACTAATCTTGGGCATGCAGTCACTCATTTAGAATCAGATTCATTAACGTGAGAACAAGGTTAAGAACAATGTGTGTCACATGTGTTGTGAATTGGATGAAAAAGTTGTGAAAAGTTCTCCTGTGCATGCAAATTCAGAATGATGTGAGACTGAGAAATATGATGCAGTTCATTCTTTATGTCTTTCCTCTTCAGCTTGGCATTGCTATTGGCTTCTTGATCCCGCCGGTTCTTGTGCCCAACGTGGATGACATGAATGAACTGGCTCAACACATCAGCGTCATGTTCTACATCACAGCCGCTGTGGCCAGCCTCATCTTTCTGCTGGTCGTGTTTGGTAAGAACATCCACAACAGCAGCATAAATGTGACTCTGGAGCACAAAACCAGTCATAAGGGTAAATTTCTCAAAATTGAGATTTATACATCATCTGAACGCGGAATAAATAAGTTTTCCATTGATGTATGGTTTGTTAGGATAGGACAATATTTGGCTGAGATCCTTTAATTCATACACTCATGTCATCATCTTGATTATGAATGCCCAAACGTGCGTAAATACATACATACATAACAGGTATTTGACTGCTTCGTCATTTATTTTTTAATTCTCCTGGTATTACATTTACTTGTGTATTTTTCTGCAGGTTTGGGTCTCTATATCTGTTCCTATAATTCTTAGATGATTAAGATAAGTTTTGAGATTTGCTTTTACAAAGTCATTTGTGTCATTATTGAAGTAGTGAAAAATATGGAAATGGATTATGATTTGGTTTTGACTACTTGGAGGAATGTCTTAATGCAACAATTTACATAAGTGGAACATGACCTTTACTTAATATCCTAATGATTTTTGGCATAAAAGAAAAATCGATAATTTTGACCCATACAATGTATTTTTGGCTTTTGCTACAAATATACCCCAGCGACTTAAGACTGCTTTTGTGCTCAGGGACACAAATGAAAATCTAACAGGACTGATGCAGTGACAACTGTTTTTAATCAGCATGAAAAATCTGATAATAAAACCTGCTCTGCTCTTTAACATAAAAACATGAGTGTGCCACACTACTTTAAGGAATAGTCCTTTCATTCATACACTCATGTCATCATCTTGATTATGAATGCCCAGACGTACGTAAATACATACATAATAGGTATTTGACTGCTTCGTCATTTATTTTTTAATTCTCCTGGTATTACATGTACTTGTGTATTTTTCTGCAGGTTTGGGTCTCTATATCTGTTCCTATAATTCTTAGATGATTAAGATCAGTTTTGAGATTTGCTTTTACAAAGTCATTTGTGTCATTATTGAAGTAGTGAAAAATATGGAAATGGATTATGATTTGGTTTTGACTACTTGGAGGAATGTCTTAATGCAACAATTTACATAAGTGGTGTTTTCAAGCAATTTACTGCTCATGTTTCATGAACATGGCTCAATGTTTTTGCCCTATGATGATATTCTTGTAAATCGAGTCATGTTGATTGATATCCAATGTTCATAGTGTTTAATGAAATATTGTTTTGAGTTGTATTTTTCATTTTCTTTTGTCTTATTCATATGTTTGAATAACTACTGTATGTGCTGCAGTGTTTCAGGAAAAACCTGAAATCCCTCCGTCTCCGGCTCAGGTGGCGCTCAGAGATGTGCCCACCGCACAGTACTCATACCTGGCTTCAATCGCAAGACTTTTCCGCAACAAGCCCTTCATCCTCCTCCTCATGAACATGGCTCAATGTTTTTGCCCTATAATGATATTCTTGTAAATCGAGTCATGTTGATTGATATCCAATGTTCATAGTGTTTAATGAAATATTGTTTAGAGTTGTATTTTTCATTTTCTTTTGCCGTATTCATATGTTTGAATAACTACTGTATGTGCTGCAGTGTTTCAGGAAAAACCTGAAATCCCTCCGTCTCCGGCTCAGGTGGCGCTCAGAGACGTGCCCACCGCACACTGCGTCCTCTAGGTTTCCCCATAGCGACCCCTAGAGGACGCAGTGTCTCGTTCCCTACTCAGGGAACCATGGTTACATAAGTAACCTGAGACGTTTTCCTTGATTGCACTTCTAGGATTTGAGCCCTGTGTTCCCTTCTGTTCCTTGTCCGGTAGTGTTTGTGTTTCAGTTGTTGTGTCGTATTTTCTCCTGTATTCCTGTTGGATTTATTATTAAAGACTGTTAGTTTTGTGTTCTCCTGCGTCGTGCGTTTACTACAGCGCAAGTTTTTATTAATAGTTTGATTTAGTTTTTTTTATATTGTCTGTTTTCATTTGAAAGTTTTAGTAATTGTCATTGTCTTTAAGTAATTTGCAATGAGAAATGTTGCATTGGCAACCTGCAAAAATAAAATGTTACTTTTTAATATTTTATTTCAAGCAACAAAATTATTATTATTTTTTTTTAGTTTTGGTTAACTAAAATAACGCTGACTTACACAAAAAAAAAAAAGTGTGGTTTTCGTTCCTAACATTTGACCCTGGTTGGATGCTGACTATGCTATCTGAATGCGAAATCAAATTAGACAAAATATAATAGGGGTGCCGGCAGGACCGGATTAACACACGGGTTAGACCAGAGGGGGGCCCAGCCAAAATACTGCTTCCCCGGAACATTTATGCATGATAGGTGCTTCAATTCTACAGAAATCTGCATAATTTGATGCATGTAAAATGTGCATGATTCTCCCAAGTGAAATTAGAATTGGCCTCTCTTTAACTGAAATTACCTCACATTTGAAATTATACTTTGTCTTTAAAACTGTGTCAAAAAGTGTGTCAGTTCTGCGACACTATCTCCAAAACTAGAACTGTTCAAACAGGTCTCCCAGTTGGGCTGCTTAAACAACCAGATTGCAATCCTTTTTCAATGCTGCTCTTAGTGGTGCAGAATCTACACATCTTTTAAACTATCAGTTTGTCATTTCACCGAATCATTTTTTGAATCCTGTGGTTCATATTTATTTGACAGCATGTTTTTCTCTGTTTGTGCTTCCCAGGACTGAACGTTGGATGTTTCTATGCCGTTTCCACCCTGTTGAACAGGATGATAATAGAGCATTACCCTGTGAGCATCTTCGAGTCCTCATCATCCTCACCCACTCTACAGACACAGGATAGCAGTAGCTGAGCTTCGAAATGATGCATATACACTAACAAAGAAGTATCATGGTATTACCATGCTATTTTTGGAGATGGTACAATCGTAATGGCATGGTATTTTTGAAGTTCCATTTATATGGTAAATGATTATGATAATTGTTCAGCACTATAGGAACATCACCTTGCTTATTTGCTGAAAATATATAATGTATCGTGCTATAAGTTCACTGTGAATCTCTGAATCACATTCTTAGCAAATGCTCTGTCTGACAGTAGTACTCAATTTCAGCTCAGACTCAGCGTATTGGGTCGTCTAAACACCGTGGACTGAAGTGCATGAGATCATGGTCTTCCAGGGTGATATATTAAAGATATCTCAGATGTTATTATTGTCTGAAGCACAGGGTGAAGAGGTGAATGCTGGGAGAATTGGCTTGACTCTCGTCATCGCTGGCGTGGTCGGCTCTCTGCTCTGTGGAATCTGGCTAGACAAGACCAAGACTTATAAGTAAGTCATGCATTTTCTATTGTTTCATTTCCCCCTGAGGTCCACATATCATGATAGTAAAGTTTTTTATTTTATTATTATTATTATTATTA